TTAATTTGATTTTAATAATTCACGCCGCTCTATGGTAGAAAATCCCATATGCAAAAATAAATAAATAAATAAATAAATAAAGACAAATTTGGAGATTCATAAGGCCCTCGTATGGCCTGGAGATAAAAGAAGGGCATCTATCACAGCATCATTTGACAGCAGACAGCAACAGGAATTCACCAGGGAAGTTGAAATCTATAGTACCGTTTTACTACATTATGAAAACATGCTAATGACTTGGAAAAAAAAAAAGAAATCAACGTATTTCCTCGTGTACAGACACGGGATGTTTATTCACTCAACGGCGTCCATTGGGAGAAAGACGTTTATTCGGGAGAGGCTGTCTTTTTTTTTTGTGATAATAACAGTACAAATTAGCATTCACTATAGATTAATTGATCATTGATTAACTGTGTCTTGGAGCAATTGAGGATAAACGAAGTACAGTGCTTTGCTGCAACCAGCAGAGGCACTATTTCAACTAGCTTGCTGTCGAAAAGACGCCAGCTGATGGAACTTGAGCTACCGCATCAATGTTATGGTAATATCCTGTAAACAGAAGCTCAGAACATTGAGAGAGACCATCCCATCGGATTATAAATTAGATACTTGCTAATTCTGTAAATTAGAAGATTGTTAATTTTTCCTGTAATCCATCTTGGAATTTAGTTAAATACAGATCCCTGCACCCATCCATTCATCCATTATCTGGACCGCCTTATCCTGATGAGGGTTGTGGACATGCTGGAGCCTATCCCAGCTGTCTTCGGGCACCCTGAACTGGTTGCCAGCCAATCACAGGGCGCACATAGACAAACAACCATTCGTGCTTACAATCACACCTAAGGACAATTTAGAGTGTTCCATTAATCTGCCATACATGTTTTTGGAATGTGGGAGGAAACCGGAGTACCCAGAGAAAACCCACGCAGGCACGGGTAGAACATGCAAACTCCATACAGGAAGACCGGGGCCCGGATGCAAACCTATGACTTCTACATTGTGAGGCGGATGTGCTAACCAATCGACCACCGTGCCACAACATTGTGGACTGAATACGACAACTGAAAACTACGCAACTTGATTACGTGTCTCCACACTTTAATTCGACCAATAGTTGCTGCTGTTTTTGTTACCAACAGTGTGTCAAAAAGAGTGTCTGGAATGCCAATCACTGGACTAGTACGCAACATGCCACTGACTTAGCTGATGCTGATGAGATCTGGTACTGCATGTGCTGCTCTGGCGCACAGTTGTTCCACAAGCCGCGCCAGATGTAAGATATTCATGAAAATGGGGTGTGTTTACTCGATCGCAGATCGAAGATTGCTATTTGAGAAGAGATAGTATTTTGTGGAAGCCCTCATATCATTTGGCAAATAAGTCAAATGAAAATCTTGAAGTGACGGTAGAGCAAAATGTGGTAGTGAATGATTATCTAGCGACTGAACTTCCTGCGTCAAGAGAAAAACCCTTGACAGTTGTTGAACTCCAAATAAGCCGTAAACTGGGAAATAAAAGGGAAACAATTAGAGATGGCAAGCTGCTTCATGGAGATACAAAACTGATTAACACACACGCAGATTGAAACGCAAACAGCTAATTAAAAGTCAATTTCATGTCGGAATTTACCTCTTTACGCATCTTGGCGGCTATGAGTTGGCACTGTTTTAGATATATGGCGGCCATGCGTGACTGGCGCTTAATGGTAAGCGCTCGTTTTGTCTGCGGCAGCTGTTGGCTGATCCACCTACAGGCCTGCCGCTGTCTAATTGATGGATCATTTTGCTCTTAATTTGACCTCCTAAGGCTGCTAATGCCCGGCTGCGTATGAGCTCTCACGGCGCCATTATAGCCTCTGTGGAGAGAATGCAGCTGCTCTTTGCAAGGGAACAACTCATGTAGTTGACACTTTATACATACTGTGATCTAACTATGCTGGAGCGCACCTTCAGAGACTCTATAATTGGACCCCATCAACACTATATGGGGTTTCTCAATGTAGACTTCCTAACGTGAATGTTTTTTTTGTTTTTGTTTGTTTGTTCCTTTTACAACATTCCTGCTAAGGCATCGATTGAGACAATCGCAATTCTTTGATATGAGCCATCGTTTTAGCAGAATGTCTTTATGAACAAAGAAGCACAAAACTATCAACCAATTTCACTGAATTGGCCTGAAATGATGACAGTGGTACGTCTACTTACGAAATTAATTGTTTCTGGAAGTTACAACTAGAAAATGTTGGAACTAGAGACGCGTTTTCCATGTAAATGCCCTAATCCGTTCCAAGCTCCCTCAAAATTCAGACATAAATGTTTTCTAAAGCATAAAAATGCATCGAAATATGTAACAAATACATGTTAGATTATTGCACAAGAAATGAGATTTGTGCATAATGTAGAAAAAAGAAAAAAAAAACGATGTTCATTCAACTTTTAACTGCATCCTCATCGTTTTTTGCCTTCTTTAGTTCATATTCTCTCTCAGAAGTGAGTTTTGCCTGGCGTTTTGTAAAGAACTGATCCAAGGACGTTTGCTTTTGTCGGCTTTTAATAATCCTTCGAAAATGTCGCCCGACTTGTGAACACTTTTTCTGGGTGATTCACATTTACATAAAACTATCGGAACGCCTCATGGCCCGAGGAGCGAATGGGGAGGACGCTGAATAGACACATATCTTTCTATTCATCTATCGACACGCAGAGACACATAAGGTAGAGGTCCCTCTTAGCCAATGGGATTGCAGGATGATGCTCGGTAATAGCCAATGGCAGAGCAGCTAGAAGTATGTTGCGTTCAGGAAACTCGGAGCTGCGAGTGGCAGACAAGACTGCATTTTTACCTTTCGTATCTTGACATTTCTTTCGTAACAAGAGACAATATGTTCCTGTTAAGGCGTTTCGTAACTTGAAAATTTTGGATGAAGAGACGTTGGCGTGTCCAATTACGGTTTTGTTTGCTGCAAACGACGGAAAGGACAACTGTATCCGTAGACCATGAACGAAATGTGAACTCCACCAAGCCAAATTTATAATTGATGGAGCATTAACCCCCCCCC